TATTTATGCACAGTCACACACACACACACACACACACACACCTACACACACACACACACACACACAGACAAACTGGAAAACAGTCCAGAGCAACCACAGGCTTCCACTGAGCTGGTTTTCACCGCTTTGCTCAGGGTTTCCTCTGCCTCTCCTCCTCCCCACAGTGCCGTTCAGAGTCCAGCCATTCAGATGAGGAGTCCAGTGGAGAGGAAGATGAAGATGATCCCATGTCCCTCTCGCCCGCCTCCTCTGCCTCCTGCCACCAGCCGCCTCCTCCACTCCCGACAGAGAGTTCTGCACCCAGCTGCCTGCCTGCTAGCCCCGGCCAGTGGAGCGTGGAGGAAGTGTCGCAGTTTATTTCTTCACTACAAGGTTGGAAGATCTTTACAGTAACGTGATGATAATGACTGCATCTGTTTTGTGCATATTGCCCGTCATAAGAAACAGAAGTGTTACATTCATCCAGCTGTTTCACTACCTTCATATTCAGTCTTTTTTGTAAACAATCCTTCTAATAAGGGGTTGCCTTCGAGATTGATGTTGTGTACTGTAATTTATCTGTTGAGATGAAAACATTAACTGTTAAATCGACTAGTTGATAGTCAGAAAATTAATCTTGAACCATTTTTTTATATAATTATTTGTGTAATTTTGTAAAGCAGAAATGCCTAAAATTCACTTGTTTCACCTTCTTAAATGTAGGGACTATCTTTGGATTACATTTCTTTGTATTCTATGATGGGAAACCGAATAACTTTGGGTTTTGTGATCATGAGAAGCACCATTTTATTATTTTCTGATGTATTATAGACTACACAATTATTAAATCAGCTGATTAATAAATGTTTAGCCTTCTGTATTAATTTTTTGCTAAAATATCCTAAATTTCTTAGTCTTGTTGTCTGTATCTTTCCCATTTTTACTTCAACCATTGACTTTACTGCTCTTTTCTTCCTTGCCTTTGTTTTCTATTTTTTCCTCCTGTCCCATTTTCTTTCTCTCTATTTACATTCCTCTTCCTCCTCTTCGCAGGCTGTGAGGAGCTGGCCTCCCAGTTCCTGTCGCAGGAGATCGACGGACAGGCCCTGCTGCTGCTGAAGGAGGAGCATCTCATGTCCACCATGAACATCAAGCTAGGTCCTGCCCTCAAGATCTGCGCCCACATTAACAATCTGAGAGACTGATGTCAGTGTTTCCATAAATCCACCATGTTCAAAGTCAAGCCCTGGGCATTTACCCAAAACTCCTGGTTCCAGAGCAGTCAGAGTCCTGCAATGAATGTATGAGGTGCAGTTCATTTTTAAAACCTTTAGCTCTAAGAAGGGCTGCAGCACTTGAATCTGTTGTTGATTTGTCCACTTTTGACCACATTTTAAATGTCGTTCTTGCACAGTAGTATTGTTAGTTACATTATTGTTCCTTGCAAATCTGTCATGTCTGAGTTGCAAAAATACTTCAGATCACCAACGGTATTATGGTGAAAATACATTTTCCCTAAAATGTTATTTCTGCACAAAATGAAAAAGTGATTTCATTTTGCCTTTTAGATGCACAATTTCAGATTAATGGCTGTCTTGCAAAATGCAGAAATTAAGGATTTGAATGTATTTTCAATGCAGAAATCTGTTGTATTGTGTAATCAGGGTTAGTATTTGCACAGGATTCCCACATTTTACTCGTCATGTACACATAGGGCTGCCCTTTTCACAGGCTGTGCTAATCTTGTTTCAATAATTTTGTTACATTTCATATTTCTTCCAAAGTTCAACAAAACATTCAGAAGAAAAGGAAATACTGAAGACGTTTACTGATGAACACACTACTATTCATTCATTGTATCATATTGTACAGAAAAAAGTATTTTTGAAAGATCCACCCACTTCTTTTGCTTTGAAACTTTATTCCGGAATTTTTTTTCCCTCTCTTTAAGAACAGTGTTGTTTCTCATCTAGTCGAACACCATTTTTGGCTTTTTGGTTACAACTCTTCACCTGATTTGAGCCACAATCAGCATAGAATAGGGACAGAAATGCAGTTGAGAAACACCCAAAATGTCTGTATCAGTCAATTTTATTTTGACTGAAGTCTTATTTTCAAACTGTTTTGTAAGGAAAGCTCTCACATGAGTCATAACTTTAGCGGTTTGTATGTAAAAACTTGTACTTACGTAAAATTATAATCATTTTGTAAGAATAGGCATCATCATTTTTAAATGGTGGCACTTTTATTTTGAAGTTGGCCTGTTTACAGGGTACAGTTACAAGTACAGGGTACTGGCTGCTGAAATGAATCCCTCAAGGATCAGAAACATTTCACATTTCAAGTGAGGCCAAAAAAATACTGCAAAAATACTGATGTTGCAAATAGTTTTCTCGCATCTTTACCCTATTTTTTACACACAGAGCACATTTAACAGTTAACAGTTAATAAGACACTACTGCAAAATGCTTTTCCAGAACAGTTTTCACATTCAAATTTTTTCACTCAGTATCTCCAGGAGATCCAGCCTTTTTAAGTTTTTTAACAGAGGACTTATTGTTGATTCTTAAAAAGGACTATAATCTGCAAAATCCTTGATAATTTTCACTTTTTCAAACGGTACAACTGCTCCTGATCTAAACAGGAGTATGTGGATGAGTGAAGGGTAACGTCATGGGCTTGATTTTGTGAAGTGACATAAAGCTTAAAAAGAAATGCTGAAACAGATGAAGAATGAAAGTAAATGTGATGATAAGCTGAAGTATCTTTAAGCTACATTCATGAACAAACCCAGAAAGTCCATGAAGAAAAATAGGCTGGCAGCCACATGTGGACCTATGTTTAGGATGGATGGTAAAAAAAAAACGTACATGAATGAGTGTGTGAATGAGAGAACCTTAAACTATACTGTAATAAGTGTAAAAAATGCCTTTATATTTAAATGCACATTTGTTTGCTGGACTGCCTTGTTTAAGCTTTTTACTGTAGGAGTTTTCTCATGTTATCTCTCTGTGAACCTTGTGGCCTTTCTCACTAGTCTCTACAATAGGTTTAGATGAGGATTGTCTGTTTTTTAACTGCTTTTCATATCATTCCTTGTTTTATATTAGTGCTTACTTTTTTACAATTGTTATTTCAAGCAATGACATCTGTTGCCTTTCCAAAAAGCGTGACCGAATAGTAGCTACCTTGATACCTTGATCAAGGAAACTTGCTGTCTTCCTCATAGCTTTGTCACATAGCGTGTAACTACCAACAGTATTTACCTTTCTAGTTAGCTATCTTTGGCTTTATTGTTAGTGACTGTGGCTATTACAGTATTTTCTTTCAAGAAGAATAATAACCTTTGATAGCTGTGTGTTTATATGTCCTAGTCGCCCCAGGATTTTGGAGTGTTTAAATCAGCAGATCCCTTCGGCATATTGTTAAGACCAAAAAAAAAAGAAGCACTTGTGCTGCATTACAAGTGATGTGAGCCACAACTTCAAATCATCGCAGTTCTGCTGTGATTACCTGTGTAACATTTGTTAACAAGCGGACCATTCAATCACTGTTCTCCCAAAAAGTAGCACTTTTCTCACAAAATGTAGATTCTGCAAAAGGCCTTTTTTGGGGGGCTTTTATATTTTAAATAAAGAAGCTACTTCAGAATCAAAATGTGTTTGTTTGCAATAATCAGAAAAACTGCAAAATCTTGGAGGGACTGAGGTTGACGTGGAGAGGCTAACAATACTATCATGCAAATAAATAATCAAGGAACTGTTTTAAAACTGTGATGCCTGTGTTTTTATTCCTGCGATGGAACTGATGTGAGTCATCTAACTCTAACTAAGGGATGATTAACGCTTATATAATGTTTTTGATTTTGTATTTGCATGTCAGACTTTGCATGGATTGCTTTCAGTGTGCACCATTAGCTTCCCTGTTTGATGAGTGAGAACAGACTGGTTTATAGGGCATGTTTGTCATTTTCAGCATTGCAATAAGTAAAGTTGACTATTTGCGGGTTATGACGCTTTGACTTCAGTGAGCTGTCAGACTGTGACCTGAATCAGAACTTCAGTCCTCGAGAAGATCCTGTTGGGCTTAGGTTTTGGTTGGGTATTACAGAGATCTGTTAGGGTCAGGACTGAGGGTGGGTTCAGTTTACGGTAAGAGAAACCACTGTCAGATCACAGAGTACAGTGTAACACCTGCATGTACAGCTTGGTAGGGTCAATCAAGAATCTTGATTTCAAACAGAAATAGACAAAATCTGACGACAACTGTCAACATTTTATCGGCTTATCTGACCTGTTAGGTAATTAACATTCATTTCAGGAGTCTATCAAACTCTGTTTTCTAGCTTGGAGCTCTGTTTGTTTTATTATAGTCATTTGATGACAGATAATCATGCAAGAGGTTGTTTAATTTACATATGAATACATGACCTCATGCAAAATGTGAAATGATGCAAAAACCTGCAGTTCAAGCTGGTTCCAAACAAAAAGTAATGGAAATGAAGCAGCCCTAGTGCAGTATTATGGTCCCTTCGCTCTGTAACATATTAACAGTTACAGTTAAAAACATGCATCCTTTCTTTTATAGTCTTTTATAGTTTACAGATATAGAAATATTTACAATCCATATATTAATCTTTAAACATATAAAGTGAGTGTGCTTTAGTGTCCAAAACATTACAAACAAGTATAAAACTAAACAAACAGCGTCAATGTAGTCCTGACTGATGGCCCTCTCAGCCAATCAGAGCACCGCATAGTTGTACGCCTCTCCATATCCCGCCTCCCTCAGGTATTTCTCGATGTCCAGTGGTTCCGGCACTCTGAGAACTGTCCTCCCATTGGCTGATTTCTCTCCCGCCTGAAGTTTCCTAATTAGCTCCAACATTGACAGACGATGTTCTGGGTTCCAGTGGCAGCAGGATTTGATGATGGAGTACCTGAAAAAAAACAGGGTAAAACACTGTAAAACTGAAAGCCAACTTATATATATTTATTATCTCTACCTTGTGTAGAAACATAGGTTTTACAACATTTTACTGATGTGTCCTCTATCTGCAACGTGCCGCCATTATTATCAGCCGTTGGAATTTGGCTCTCTGTTGACCTTAAATCTTTTATCTTTTATATTTATCTACATTTATTTGACAATAAATGTGTTTTGTTTGAAATAGGAAGTTATGTTTAGAGCAAACTTTTGATTTTTGCCTTGGGTAAATTTCAGCAACAATGAAACAAAAGTAACAGTTATGTTTTTTAACTTTAACTAATAACTTAACTTTAATTAAAGCTAAATGTGCAAGCTAAGTTATGTTTTATGTTCCTGTTCAGCCAATTACTTGTGAAAAAAATGTAGTCATTAACCTAATACAAGTATCTAATTATGAAAGTAAAGTAATTTGATTACTTTCCACTACTTCCAACACCAAATATGTTGGAAAAAAAAACAAGAGACAATATAATCAAAAAGAAGTATTGATGCAAGTGTATGCTATAAGACAAAAATGTAAACTTTAATAAAAATGTAAAGATTTTGAGCAGTATTTACAAAAAAAAAAAATCGTAATCCTGCTAAATAATCCCATTGTGAAAGAAATTGTGAATAAAAAATAGAACCATGAAATTGTAGATCTATAATATTGACTAGACACTATAGATCCTCCTAAATGCTACACACTGGACCTTTAATAGTGGACAACTAATTGATTAATTGACTATGTGCGGAGATAAAATAAAATTGACTTGACATGTTTTGAGGTTTGAGGCTGATAGAGACCCTTGCACACCACTTGCGATGCTGGCACTCTGCAGCGTTATTAACAGTGTTCTGCTGTTCTTCTTACAGTGAGTTGGAGCAGGTGGGCGGCCGTTTCAGATGCTTTCCTCTTTGTAGATATTGCAGAAGTTCAGTCGCCATGATCTGAGCAAACGGTGGGTCACCTGTAAACATGGGAGTATACTATGTTATATTGAAGTACTTAAAGTTCCCCTTTCACTCAGAAATATGTTTTTCTTGTTCCTACACTTGGATATTTGAGCTTCACTCTACAGATTGATGTATGTGAAGAGTTTGATGCTAAAATGATGTTTTCACATTCATCAGCTGAAAGTGGAAAGTTTCTCATTATTCAGCAGGAAAACTTTGATGTGGAAGTTATACGCCAGACACACATCATTGTTTCAAGCTGACTATTTGTATAAGTCATAATAACAGCTGGAGGGGAACAAAACAAACAACAAACAACACCCCTGTTGTATTAGTTTTAATAATGGGATTTAACTTTTCACCACAGTGGGTCTCTCTCTTTTATTATCCCTCAAAGGGATTTCAGATTTATTATTTGCTGGTTATTATATTGTTTACTTGTTATTATTATTATTATATAGTCCAATCCTATGTTTCATTAACTAAACAAAGTCTCTTGGAGGGATGTCTAGAATTTCCAAACACCTACCCAGTGAGACCATTTCATAGAGCAGGATACCAAAGGACCATCTGTCAAAAGAAGAGTTAAGAGAAGAACATAATGTCATTTGACATTTCAATAACGTGCTTTATATTCAGTCATCTTCACTGCATTATTTAATATTCTCACAGAGGAGCTGGGCACTCACACATCACTGCTCTGACTGACTGCTCCCCTGCTCAGCACTTCAGGTGCCTGCCACTTCCTCATCTCCATGTCCTCTATTGCCCCCGGTGAATGGGGCTGAGTTCTCCTGCGGTATGCCGAGCCCAATCCCCACAGTTTCGCTGTCAGATCTCCACCAACCAGGACGCTGTGAGCTGCCACGTTGCCATGGATGCAGCGCTGACTGTGCAGGTACTCCTTGAAGATGTTCAGATAAATAAGACAGAGCAATAAGAGGAATGCTGGAAATGCAGACCAACTGTATAGGGCCTGGAGTAGTAAAACAACTCAACTCCACAAGGACAATACAGAATACAAAATATACAAAATATAAACATCAACCAGACTTAACTTTGACATTTATAATGGTTTATACTGTATTCACACTTTTGCAGAATTCCCATATAACCTTCATTTGAAGAGTGATGGTTCTGTCAAGTATTGCTATAAAAATGTAGACGTCTGAGAGATGGACAGAAATAAAGAGAGACTTTTGCCTGCCACCCAATAATATCACATTAGGATACAGACTGGGAGATAAGCAAAGAAACAGAATGAGGTTTTCCCACAAATACATTAGTCCATGAAACAGTGAGAGAGACTGACAGATACATATAAGGACAGACAGACAGCAGTTTAACCAACCAGAGCAGAAGCCACTTGTCCTGCCATGGTGAAGATCCTATTCTCAGTCATGTCACATGAAGCCTCTGAACCTGAGTTATCCTTCAGTGAGAGAGGAGAAGGAAGAAAAGGGAAAAAGTGTGAATGTTTTCTCCTCATGGTTGGATGGTAGCCTTCTGAGTCAGATTACCAGACCTGTCTTTTATGTTATCTGATATACTGTAGCTCTCTCTGCTGTGTTCATAATCAGCTACTATACCATTGTGTCAGGCTAGTAGGTGGACATACTGTACCTCACTGAGAGTGACCTCAATCATAAGGTAGCCACGCCCAAAGCATACCCTGCTTAATGGCCTATTTTACTCTAAATTGGATCATAATTTACTAAATTAATGTTAATTTAAGACTTTAAACTAGTGATTGAGACCATAAACTCGTTAGGAAACTATTTACGGAGCTAATAAATCAAGTGAGAAGTCGGCTCCTTTTTCCATTAGAGTGCATGGTATCAGTCTTTATTGCAGCCAATGGAGCTGCCCCTGTCGGCCTTTACATGCAGGTTTAAGACACTTCACTCGTTCCACATGAGCATATACCCTGCAGTTTGTAATGTAAACTTGTGGAAATCTATCTCTGAAACTCTGAATAATCTGTCTTTGTTTTGGTGATTAATAGATTACTGTACCTGTCGACATCTCCACAGGTACCCTAACAGGTCTCTGTGCTGCAGCTCCTCCACAACCATCATCAGGGGCGACTGAACTGAAACCACTCCCAGCAGCACGGGTATGAAAGGGTGTGGCCCCAGTCCTGACATGAAGGAAGCGAAACCCAAAAAGTGCTGCTTATCACTGCTGTTTGCTGTTTCTGAGGAAGAGGTTAGAACAGAAATATAAACAGTTTTTACTTTTATTTAACCAGGGAATTTTTTAAGAACACCCTGCTTCATATTTACACAGTTACTATACTGCATATTTAGTTTTACTACATAAGGAAAAAAATAAGACTTCTATTTGTTCCCTGTATCTCTCAGGGTTTCTGAGAAGTTTCTCTGTTTGAGATTTGGCTTTGTACAGCTCATTTTACCTTTTAGCACCCTCAGGATGACATCCCTGTTGTCCATGCGGGCTCTGTAGAGGCTGACTGAGTCATTAGGCTTGATGGAGAAGGACAGTGGTAGGGCAGTGACCTGGCTGAAGGCTCCATGATGCCTCTCGGTGGACATCTGTGGTACTGCAACCAGTTGAGTTGGCCTGACGTTCTGCTGCACCTGTTGAACTGACATTGGCAGCTCTTCATGTTCCAGTGGGTTTATCCCTGGGGGTGCTGTTGAGAGAGAGAAAGAGAGATAGATACAGACCAAAATGATACATCAGTATGAGTAGTTGTTTGTAAAATTGAGTCACAATGAAAGATATAATAAGAATAATATAAAAGACTTAAGAAAAAGAGTTATGCATGCTTGCTCACCATCAATGCCTTGTAGGTGAAGTCTGTGGCTGTGCCTTTGTTTGTGTCTGTGCGATGAGCTGTGGTAGCGTTGAGGGGCTGTGATCCGTTTCTGCTTCCGTTCAGGACAATACCTCATTAAGCACAGGACCAATAAGGTGACCAGGGTGGCCAGGAGGAGCAGTGTAGGGACGATGATCACCGCCTGTTCATGCTCTCTTACAACTGAGAGAGAAAAAAAAGAAGTACCAGGTTATTTGTATGCAAAGTTGGTCCCATTAGGAAGACCGTCAAACAGCATGAATCTCACAGCTTCTTTCACTTAAGTTAGGACAGTACAGAGATGCCACAGTTCTCAACCTTCTTGTGAATTGTATGCATGCATTTTAGGGAAGCATCAATACCACTTTACTGACCAAAGTACAAGTATTTACATTTGGATACTTGCTAATGCTGAGTACTGATTTGAGTACTTAATAATAATCCTATTACAGTTCTAACAATGACTCTGGAAAACTTTTTTTATTTTAATCAGATATCCCACACTTTCTGACGGTAACAAATTAAATGCCGCTAATGTTGTTGTAAAAGTTGCTTAAATATCTCCAAACGGCAGACATTGCTTCTCCTCCACCGACATGCTCAACTAATGAGAGGTTGGGTTAGTCGCACTGCCATAAATTGGTATCGGGTGCAATCGGAGTAGTTTTATGATTACAAGTATGAGTACGTGAGCACAGTATCGGATCCGATACCAGTTTGGTGCATCCCTAAAGTAGGGATTAAAGAGTTAAATACAAACATTCATAATTACGCTGTGCGTAAGGTTGTACAGGTTTGGTTTCAGTGCTCTTTGACAGGATGAGTCTGCTGGCTGTTAAAAAGGTTGCACCTCTCAGGTGTTGACAGGATGTTCTATCGTGACATTACATCATCCTCCTTTTACAGCAGTGTTGATAAGTTGATATATAGCCAGATGACGCTGCAATTTAAAAAGTATTTAAGTGCAACTATCAATACCCTCACTCTGCATTTTTATTTTATCTTTATTTCAGTGCTACAAGCAACAAGAAACAAAAAAATAGAAAATTCACTTTTAAATCAGATTGATTTTATAATCCCTCAGGTATGTCAGCAATGAAAGGACCAGTTTCTAGTTAAAAACTGGAGAAATTAATTTACCTGCTCCACTGAGTTTGAAATGGAGTATAACGGTATGCAGTTCTGTTTGATATCAGGCAAGAAATCCATACTGTCTATTCAGTTGTAGCCTAATCATATATCTGGACACATAGCTAGGTCTTTAATCCTGTGGACAGCGTTTATCATAATTGCTCGTCATCGTCACGTCATTATTGCATTGCTCACTGCTTATGCCTTACTTGACTGATAATGAAACAACTGTTGTCCTGCTGCATTGTTGTTGCATTGTCGACATATTTCAACTAGGCTGTAATTGCACATGATACGATGAGTCATGCATTAACATTCTGAGAAATAAAAGATTGAGACAGCGCTGATTGGTGGAAAACATGCCTTTCCCTGTTGAGCCACTGAACCATGTTTTTGGTAGCTGTGCCTGAGAGTTTCCACACTACTGAAACAGTTTATTTGCATGCTAATAAGCAGGAAATGCATAAATATTTCCCTAATTGCACAAGGTCGTACCCATCATTAGATTATGTTCACTTTAATTCCTTCACTGAGTTCCCTGGATAATTTTGTATTTATTCTTTTTATTGCTTTCATTTATTTATGTGTTTAATTTTGATCATGTCTCATTATGTCTATCCTCCATATTGACCCTTTACTCACTTTTAATACAATACTCTGGGTGTAGACCAACTCCTTACATAGAATTACTACAATGCTGTGTGCCATCAAATCCATCATCCTTATACACCTCCTGTTGTTGAAATCCTGATGTAAATCCAACATTGTTAGAAAGAAGAAACTGCTTTCTAAAACCACTGGTCTGTGTAAATGTGTTCTGGTTGTGGCACATTCTTAGGTGTGGTGAGGGATTTGTAGGATGTCATAAATCATTTCTTGTCATTGTCATTGAAGCCTTGGTTTGAGCTTGAACTTAATGGAGCTCAAGAGTGAAGTAAATAATCCCATTCATATTCTGAATCATGGACTTAGCCCTAATGTTGTAACCATCCAAGGCAGACTAAACACGAGCTGTGAGATTGTGAACCAATGGCTAGTGAGGTATTTAACTTTGTCTACACACTTACACCTAATTTAGCTAGTGAGTTACTGCATTAGGACACTACTACCACTGAACTCTATGATTGTTAATGTTAGTTTATCGCAGAGCAACCCTGATTTCCCTTTCTGACAGGCTGTGGGTTTTTGTTTTTGAGAATCACTACAAGTCAGTGTTTGTGAGGCCAGCTTGTCAGGACCAGTATAAAAGACAAGACATACAGGTTGTGGTGGGTTTTGCAGGCTGGCTAGCTAGGTAACATGAGTCCACATGAAACTACATGAGTCACACTAATCACACACACGCAACACAAACTACACAATTGTTCATGTATTTATGGTTCCTGGCTGCTTCATGTTTGAAGTGACACAATTATAAGTCAGACTTATAATTAATAATAACTAATATAAATAATAAATAATTAACTGTGTGATCAGAAAGACTTCCCAGCAGTATCTGTGAGTCAGCAGTTATTACTCCGATTATGTAATCACACATCACATGGAGCTCTAGTATTTGACATTATCTGGAGGCTGGATGTTGCAACATCATTGTAGACGGCAGCTGAGAGTTTCATAGTTAACTGAATGGAAATAATGATATACTTTAAGGTGGTTAAATACCAAGACATTTTTAAATTTGAAGAGTTTATTTATTTGGTATCATCTTAAAGGCTTTGGCTCAAACTCCCTGTTTGCTGATTGGTTACCAGGACAAATCATGTAGCTGTAGGTCCCATGTCAGCATGACCTCAGCAGATATATTCACAGTTTGTCCGCTGATGTATTAGGTTTACAGCTAAAATGAGCTAGCTGCTGGTATTTACTTGAAAAAGGAGATGAACAAGAAGATAAATAAGCAAAGTCGAAAAGCAAAAGCCAGAAAATCAAAGTGGCAAGATGAAAATGTCTCCCAATGAAAACAGAAGCATGATGGTTATTTATCAAATTCACCAGTTAACATATAAGATCAGGAAAGGAACCATGGCAGCAGTTCAGCTTGATGGCAGGAGAGAGTTTCAAACAGGGCCCAAAAATGAACTTTTTTTCACCGGCCTTTTGAGCTTCATATTTTAGCCGTGATCTTGTGTCATTCAGATGCTACCTCTCACAAAAACGCAACCTCAGTGACTTTTCTCTTCGTCTTCATGTTTTCTTGTTAGTATGCTGGGAATGTGTTGCCACATCTCTAATAACATGAACTAGGATGTTTCTTCCGGCAGACAGACATTGTGTAGAAAGCACAAATAGCTGCTTTGATTTGATTTGCTGATGTCACTGTAGGTGCAGTGGACAGTGAGGTCACATTAGTCTGCTGGTACACATATAAACCTAATATTACACTGTAATCAATTTATTTTTGCGCACAACCTACATTTTACTCACCTTTGGAGCTTGGTGCGTATTCATTTTGGGCCCTGGTTGTCAAAGTAGAGGTAAAGAAAAGAGGCTGATATGAAGATGCTAATAATAAAGGAAGAAAATGGTAAAGAAGAAAGGAAAGAATCCATGATAGTGGCCATAATGTGCCAAAAGGATAAAGTAGCAGCAAAATGGTAGACAGAGACATTAGGGAAAGCAACATATACTGTGAAAAGAGAGACAAAAGTTGCATACTATATAGTATATATCATATATATCTGAAGTATTGAGCCAGAAGAGAAAGCAGAGGACATGAAGAGAAGCAAAGGAAAAGGGAGCTGAGAGGCGTGAGAGGAAGCAAGAAAGTGTATGAGATAGTGATGATAAGAAAGAGACGGATGAAAAGTGGCAGTTGTGTCCTTACTACAGAGGGTGTCGTCCGGTGCACACAGATTATCGGCTGTGGAGTTGGATGACATGCTGGAGAGGAAGAGAGGAACACAGATAGATCAACATTACTATCAGCTGGAGGAAGAGATCAACATTACCTCTGCTCAGCAACCACCCTAAATCCCCTAAGCTTAGATAGAGTGATGCAGCATCTGCCTTTCTAATAACTCTATATACAGTACAGTAGTAGCTGCTTTCGAGTTTAACTGTGCTTTAAGAGCTATCAGTAAAGTTCAGCAAACAGTAGAACACACGCCCTCGATGTTGACTATAAGTGATCAAATTTTTGAACATGTAAATATTTACTATGGCCTTTTTTATCTACACTTGCATAGCAAATATAAACTGTGACCTTTTCTTATCTAGGCTCGCACAGCAAATATAAAAAGGAGTGCTCCACAACTTGTTTTCTGTGTGTATAGTTCACAGTTGTATCAGTTACATGGATAATAGAGCAGCAGAGATCAGCATTACCATCGCTCAGCAGTGACCCAAAATCCATAAAAGCCTTGGAAGGATAACCTGGCATTCAGCAGCCTATTAAACTTCTCAAATCACACAGATGATATACCCAATATATTTTATCCTAACATTTCCCTAGAACTATAATTTCTTTCAAAGGTTGCACACTTGTAGTGTGTTTTTACCATACAGTGTATTGTGATTTTTGGTTCAATGACCCCCTCTTTTTAGGAAATAGCTGATAGTTTGAAGAATATTGCTTGTGAGTAAAATGTTCTAGTAGCTTCAGACAGTGTAAGATCATCTCTTCATTGTTTGTACTAATTAAAAAAGGCAGCTTTAAGATATTTATCAAGAGTGTAATTACAGACCTATTCAGCTGAAAGGGAGTTGTCTTTTATTCCCTCTGCTTTTTCTTTATAATAATGTGAATGCCCCAGGCCAGCCAATCATCCTGCTAACTTCCATTTTCAAGTAGTGTCACCATGGAGTAATTTGGCCCTTGAATGTAGATTTAGCTATTACATACAGTTTGCAGTTATGTATGTAACTAAGAGGCTCTTGAAATATTTTGGGTTGTTGCTGACATGGTCAGGTTTTAGACAATTCTCTATGCAGGAAAACCCCCTGAAACTGTGACAATGTGTGTTAATCCTTATATAAGCAGCTTTCAAACTGTAACTTGACCAACAAAAGACATTATAAAAGAAAGACCGTAACTGCCAATCAGAACACAATGATACTAAGGGAAGTGAAATAAACGTAACTGATGGAGAACTTGACGTTGCAGGGAAGTGAGAGTGTACTGAATAGGGGGTTTCTGTACCTGTGAGAGTGTACGCAAATTTCTTCTGATCACATTTGATCATGTATATTTGAACTTACTTCCCAGGCCTCTTTTCAAACACTCATATTTTACATGGAAGTCACCCATTCAAATCAGGTGGTTAAAAAGAGGGACACCCATTTAGGACTGGGGATTACACTAGACACGTATACTGTTGTCCTCCTACCCATCTAATTTCTTTAACAAATGTAGCCAAGAGCCAACCATGTTTGTTTGCTGCTGGTAGCCTCCCACTGTCAGTCACTATTATCCTAGCACTCACCAAGTACTCTGATAGTCCTTTTACACAGTTGATGAAGAAAGAGAAATGAGGTTGCACTAACAGATAATGAACCAGTATTAAATGTGTAAATGTTATCAGTTCATCATCTCTTATGTCATAAAACAAACATTGTTCAACCAAAGACGCCTACTCATTCAAATCAGTTAGCTCACTTCATTTGAGAGTAATAGCAATTTTAGACCATTTGTAAACTCTATAAAATCTAACTAGTTCCACAGCTTTCTTTAATATTGAATTTTGAGCTTGTTATTTCAGAATAACACTTATAACTGCACAGTTAGAATGACATGTTAATGTTTTTATGTTTTACTTGTACTTTAGTACATTAATATATAATTATGTTATATATATCTATCTATCTAAATCACTTTAAATTAGTTTGTGTGTCAGTGAAATAGCCATTAATGCACATTAGTCCCTCACTTTTCTAATTGCTTTGTGGTAAAAAGAAGTTAGAAAACTCCCTCTCTGTCAATGAGCAGCTTACATGTTGTCAGTCTAATAATGCTTAAAAGGATTTGTTCTCATGCCTACCTTGTCCTTTTCTGTCATCCAAACAACTCATGTAATATACACCACGGGCTGTGGTGATGTAATGGTGTTAGCATCAGAGTGAAGACACTCATTCTCAACTCCAGTACAGTTCAGGTACCAAAGTGTTTGTGACTTTATGTGTTAATAATGCAGCGTCATCCTCACCTCACAGAGCATGGAAAAATCTTATTAGTGTGTACTCTCTGTGTGACACATACACACACACACACACACACATACACACCCTTACGAGGTCATGCTAGTATGAAGTAAGCATTTTTATTACAAAACACACACAGACACTGACACTCTCCTTTATCCTGCATAAAGGATGAATGCCACTGAACCCGTTTGTCTGCATAGTTGTCAGTCACATTTACAAGCACCAATGACTCTCCTGTATCAACACACATCTGCATGCACAACAAAAGACTGGGCCATTTCACAACACAGAAACTAAAATATGTTGTTAAAGACACACAGACATACAGTATGCGCACACACAAACAAAACTGTGCATCAAAACACACAGCAGTTAAATGTGTCAGGATTCCGATATCACATACAATAATACCACATATTTTAAAGTTATTCTCACACATGCAGTAGATTGCACACACAAATACTGCACTAGAACACATATAGCACTTACATATACACATGGAGTCATACAAAATAACATGACAGTGCACAGACAACTACTAACACATGTTGCCATATAAAATTTCAGTAGGAACATGTTATCAATCACAAATGAGGGAGAGTTTTCTTTTTCACCTTACCTGGCCAACTCTCTGGGACTGTTCAGGTGTCAAACTCTGTGTGCTTCTCGTATCCAAAACATGTAGTTTGCTGTCCCTGCCAGCCATATAAGTGTACACTTGTAAGCCAAACTCAAGTCCACTATCTCAGATTTCATGTTTTCATAGTCAGTCTGCGACACATAGTGCTGTCCACAGGCAGACACATCTCCAGTGAAGATAATGATGATGTTAGAATTTCTGTTCCTGTTTTGCTGTCACCAGCCCGGTGTGTTTTCTCACTCGTGTCTTTCCTCCTGTCTCTCTCTCTC